CAGGCCGGCGGGGGAGGGGCACGCCTCTTGCCGTGGGCCCGGGGACCCGGCGCCCTTCCCGCCCGAATGGCCCCTGGCTGCTTTTTTCTTTTTGGAGCCATCACTGGCCAGGTGCGGGCATCTTACCAGGCGGAGGGCCCTGGGCCCGCACGTAGCTGCGCAGGGTGATGTCCGCAGAGCCCCCTGACTCCAGGGGGATGGGGTGCGTGTGGAAGTGGCGGAGCATGTCGAGCACAGACTGGAACCACAGGTGCTGTACGTGGCACTGGCCGTGGCCGTTCAGGGACAGGCGCAGGTGCTGCGGGCACAGGCAGACCCGGTCAGTGGCCGCGTCCTGGGCCGGCCATCTGCTGGGCAAGTGCCTTTGGGGGTTGCTGGGGGGACCAGGGCTCAGAGCGGCTGTGTCTGGCTGTCAGATCTGGCCTCTCACGTGTGAGCCCCATCTGGGGGCGGGAAATTGGGGCCACAGAGCCAGTCTGGGACTGCCCCAAGCTGCCCGTCTTTAGTTCCTTCTCCCCCAAGCCCCAGAAGGTAGGGATTATCGCCCCCATATTAGAGATGGGGAAGCTGAGGCCCAGGAAGGGAGAGTGACTTGCCTGTCCTCTCAAAGCACAGAGCTGCGAAGAGGACTTGTGTTTGTGTGGCTCTCCCAGTCCAGAAGACGGGTGGATCTGCCCTCTGACCCTGCAGAGTCAACACCCAGAGGCCTGGAAAGGACCCTGGGGCGGGCTGACGACACACACTCCTTACCTGTGCTGCTGTGGGCACACCTGGGGCCTGGGGAACAGGGCTGGTTCCTTTCCAGAGCCCACATGAGGCAGGTGCCCAGGGTAAGGAGGCTTGTGGTTTCTCTGGCCTCAGCCCTATTTTGCTCAGTATGACTCCCACAGGAGGAAAAGTGGCTATCTTTAGGGGATGGGGAGTAGCTGGGCGGGGGGTGAGAGGAATAGGAAGGGTTTGAGGGTATGCACATGGCCCCAGGTCCAGGAGGGGCAGCTGGCCTAGCCACCTACATAAAAGACAAAGAATCCCTGGGGTGGGGTGGGGCAGTGGTCCCATGAGTGAGTACTGCCGCCCAGCAGGGTAAGAAGTTGCCAAGACAATGGGAGCCATCCTGGGGAGTGTCAACTGCAGCCCAGGGGAGGGACCCAGCCTGTGAGAAACCACAGTGGGGTCCAACCCCAGCTTCACAGCTGGGCAAGGCCTTCTGGGGGCAGAAGCAAGGAAGGGGCATCCCTGTCTTCTGGAAAACCCTCGGGATGCTTATTATCGGAAGGCAAAGAGGGCTGCCTCTGGGAAGGCAGTGGTCTTCCTTCCCAGGAGGTGTGTAAGCAGGATGCTGATGTTCCTGCTCTGTCCGACTACTGACCTCTTGGCCTCAGACAGTCACCTCTACTTTGGGAGAGCAGCAGCTGGGGTAAGGATGAGGTGCAGGCAGAAGGCTGAGTCTTGTTCCAGGAAGGAGAAGAGCTTCCTGCCCACCCTGCGATTTCCCCATGCCCCGTAGCGAGCTGGGCACCATTCTAGTCCCCGGCTTGGGTGTGAGTCAGATCCGGGCACTCCTGGGAGGCCACCTGGGGCGTGGTCAAGAAGTAAACTGCATGCCACCGAGCGCGGAGTTAAGCGCCTGGTTGTTGGGGGATCTAGTTGTGGGGGGGAGGCTGCTTTCCAAGGAGGTGTCCCGGGGAGGTGCTTCCTCCTCCAAGGTGGGAACGATGCTGAGGGAGCCAGCGGAGGGCTGGGTGGGGGTTAGGGCTGCCGGGGGCCCTGCAGACAGGCACTGCCCACCAGCTGCAGGCCTGGAGCAGGAGTCCTGGGGTGCCCCCTCCTCCAGCGGGGGCTGACGGGAAATCATGTCCTGGGAGGAGCCAGGGCTGGGTCTGTTTCCTTATCGGAAACATGGGATGTGGGGGCATTGAGGTTCCTGCCCCCTCTGGCCACACCGTCCCCCCATGATGGTCTGTCATATTTTCCTTTGCACTTTAGGTCACGACGGCATGCAATTCCCTTCCTTGAGACCACACGTCTGGGCATACTGCCATACCTCTGCTCGGGCAGGGCCTGCCTGGATCACCCCCTCGCCTGTCTTCACCCCAACAATTCTTTCTCCCTTGCCTGTCTCAGCCAGGGTCCCTTTAACGCTGACTCCACCAGACCTTGCGTGGCTTTTCTGCCCAGCCCAGCTCCCCTGCTGGGCTCTCTCCAGCTCCTCTCAGTGTTTTCCCTTCTGTGTCCCTTGTCGAGGCCCAGAGGGGTTGGTGACTGACCCGAGCAGGAAGAAAAGGGGCTGTCTGGAGGTAGCTGGGCAGGAGGCGGGGCTCCGAAGGCCTCCGAGGACCCCGGCCCTGCTCTGGGTGGAGACCCTCGAAGCCCCAGTGCTACGGGGTCCTGACGCATAGGGGCCAAAGGTCTTGGAAAGCTGCGTCATCAGAAGGTCCCGGCCTCCTGTGGGCTTGGTTGCCGGCACGTGATTTCTCCCCGTGTGGAGAATGGAGCCCCTCGGAGGGTGTGGGAGGGACACAGGCGGTTCGGGGAGCATGACCGGGTGGGCAGGACTATGGGTTGTCATGCCACACCTGTGCGGCCACTCCGGGCACAGCCTCAGGACCAGGACCGCCCCGCCCCCGCCCCCAGGGCTGGCTGCTCCAGCCCCAGCACCCCGACTTGCCTTGGCCTTGCCCTGGAAGTTGAAAGTCAGCACGTACTCCCCAGGCCGGGTCTCACTTTGGCGGATCACGAAGAGGCCGTGGCTTCGGGGTCCACCCGCCAGCACCAGCTGCGCTGCCTTGACCCGGGACAGCGTCCCGTGGAACCAGGGGTAGTCAGAGAGCTCCAGGTCGGGCTCAGCCTCGGGATCCGGCTCTGTTCCCTCCTCCCCTGGGGGGTTGGCAGTGTGAGGGTGGCAGAGAGGGGGACAGAAGGATATGTGAGAGAGAGAAGACAGCCTGTTAGTTTCTTGCATGTCAAATGCCGTTTGCATGGTTTTGGAACAAGGCAGGAAGCTCACCCAACCCGCTCATTAAGCATACGAGGTAAACTGAGTCTCAGAGACGGAATGCTCTATAGTGGGATGACTCTAAGCCAGCAACAAACATGGGAACAAATCCAGTCTCTGGTCCCCAATCTCCCGGTTCCAACCCTTTGCACCCCTCCCTGTGAACATTTTCCATGGAAACTAGTTCCCCTGGGAAGAGCCAGGCTCCCAGACTGGCCTGCAAAAGCCAGAACTACCGCCGAGTTGTGTGAAGGCCCCCAGAGGATGAGCTGTCACAGCTTCTGAGGCTCAGCAGGGCTTTGGAGGGAGCTCAGGGGTGCCCGTGGCCAGGGGTGGGGCCCAGGAGAGGGAAAGCAGGTTGCCCCTGGGCACCTGGGTTATTGCTGTCGCTGCCACCGCCGCCCGGCGATTCCAGGGTCTGTAGGAAGGTCTCTAGTGGGACATGGACCAGGGACTCTCTGACGGCATCTCGAGCTCGTCTGTGTGGGGCTGTCACCACCGCACCCACGGCGGCTGACGTCTCCGGCGGCTGGGGCAGGTCAGCTGCTGGGGACGTGGCAGGTAGGAAGCACATCCCTTTGTCTGTCCGCCCCCTCCAACCCTGTCCCGCCACAGCTGTGTCCCCACCTACCATCCGTCAGGAGCTCACAGCTGCAGGAGGCCACGCGGCTGGCTAGACAGCTTCCCCGGGCACAGGACAGCTCGATATCTTCCTCACTGTCGCTTTGGAGGTGAGAAAGCACAACCACGTACTGCCACGGGACCTGGACCCAGACCCGGACCCGGACCGGCTTACACAGCCAGGCAGTCCCACGACCAGCACCAGCCCCGCTCTGTCCTCCGTTCGCCTCTCTGCCTCTGCGTCCCTCTGGCCCACCCTCAGCTGGCTTTATGGCCACCAAATGAGAACAGTCCCCCTCGAGGCCACGAGAACCCTGCCGCTAACCCCGAGGGGCTGGCCTTCTCCTGGGAGACCCTCAAGTGGTGGGAGGGTGTGGTGGTGGTGGCCAGGTCTGGGCACTTTCCTTCCTGCATCCCGGAGGGCCTTTCTTTCCCCGTCTGTGACACGAGGTGTCTGGGACCCTGCCAGCTCTAAAATCCTGCAGAGCGAGCTTCACCTTTGCAGGGGCTGGGGAGGGGTTTGCAGAGCAGATGGCGGGGAGGGTGGCAGAGGAGGGATTACAACCACTCTGCCAATAGGGCCTAGGAGGCACTCAGGACCTTAATTGTGCTTCCTTAAATGAAGCTGTTAATTAGAAAGCAGCGGCCCCTCCTCCCCAGGCTTGGCTCGCCCCATTAGCCCGGAGAGCTTCTGCCAAGTGCTCAGCCAGTTGGCCGCCTGCCCCTCCCACCCCTGGCCTGGAATGGCCCCTGGACAGTGGGGCCAGCCCTGCTGCTTCTAGCCCTCTGCTTGTTTTACTAGCCTTGGCTCCCCCTTCCCCTGACCTCCCAGCTTCCTGGGCTGGCCTCGAAATCCCCTCCTCGCCAGCTATCCTGAAGGCCTCGATGTCCCCTGCAAGTCCCAGGCTCGTGTCCACCTCTACACTTTTAAAATTTTTCCTTTGAGTTGGGGTCTCGCTGTCTCCCAGGCTCGAGTGCAGAGGCGTGATCAGAGAGCTCTGCGGCCTCGAACTCCTGAGCTCAAGGGCTCCTCCAGCCTCAGCCTCCTGAGTGGCTGGGACGACAGGCACAAGCCACCGCATGCAGCTCCACTTCCCCACCGTTTGCTGGACTGTTCTCTCTGCCCTCCCCAATCCCCTCTGTCTGCCTCAGCTCTACTCTTTTACTGAAGTCTCCAGTTAGGTGAGCGCCTCCACCAGCGAGCCTGCCCAGAGCCAGGGGCTGGGCTATTTGGACTCACTCCATCACGGCCCATCTCTCAGCGGTCGGAGGCTCCCCTGGAGTGAGGGCAAGACTTGGTCTAACTTCCTTCCAGGTCCCCGGGCCCTGGCCCTGCAGAGCAGACCTCACAGAGGCCCATTTCTCAGGCTCAGCCCCTGCCCTGCCAGGAAGGTGCGCCCAGTGGAGGCTGGACCGAGGGCCACCTGGGCACTCACCCAGGGTCCACACAGCCCTGGATGTCAGCGACCCATGAGTGCTTCTGCAGGGAATCGATGGTCTCCAGGATGTATTCTGCTCCGTTCTCCACCTGGGGGGGGGGAGAGTGGCCGAGGGTCCGTCCACCGTCAGCAGGGGGCTCCAGATGGCCAGAATGGCTCAAAGGGCTCGCCCCCCGTCCCCCACCAGGGCTCACAGGCGAGAGCATTGAGGAAGACAGTGGGGTCACCACCGGGCCCTACCCCAAACCCAGCCAGGGCCCCAGGAGCATGGCCCACAGCTCACAGGCTCTGCAGCTCCTCCCTCCCAGACCCCCCCCACTGGGGATGCGTCAGTCGCTGACCTAGGGCCCTGGAGATGCAGCCTCTGAGGAGGCCACACTGGTTGGGGGAGGAGTGGGTAGCCTAACCCTAACCCTGGCACCCCAAGGGTGGGGTTCAAATCAGTAGAGAAGGCAGCCCGCTGGGCACCGAGCTGAGACTCACGTGCCCCAGGGCTTGGGACTCTGCGTTATGGTCACGCCCCTGGGATAAGCAGCCTTCAAAGGGGAAGGGGGGAACAAGACATGACTCCAGGCTCCAGGCCCAGGGTTATCATCCAGCTCATTCATCCATCTCATAAACTCCCAACAGCCCTGTGAGGGAGGAGATGTCTTCCCCCCATTTTACAGATGATAAGACTGAGGTTCAGAGAAGCCAGGTAACTTGCTCAAAGTCACACAAGCGACCGGTTGTGAGGCGGGTGCCCGAACCCTCAGATGTTCAGGGTCCCCCCGGTCCTGTGTTCTCGGCCTCCTGTCAGGGGCCTCCGTCAAAATGCAGTATCAGACTCCCAGCATCGGAGAGCTGTGAGGGTCCTTGGAGTCCGCCCTTCGCCTCTCTCTGAACGGATCTGAAGCTGAGGCCCAGAGTGAGCTGGCAGGTGAGCCCTCTGCACCAGGGTCAGCAGCTGAGCGGCCACCCGGCACACGAGAACACCAGGTGGGCATGGGCTGTGTCCTCAGTCCCCAGCCTGGGCTGACTCAGGGCAAATGTTTGCAGAATGAATAAGTGAGTTCGTGACTAGCAGACGGAACGGGTGAAAACAAACCCAATCAGGAGCCTGGAGGAGAGGGGGGGGCTTTGTGCATCTCTGAGTGGGAACTGTGCCACAAACACCCCCTCTGATCCTTCCACCGCCCTGGCAGCCTGCAGCCAGGTCCTCGGCAACCCGCATCGGCCACCCCAGGGGTGTGGGGCCCAGGAAGAGGAGGGGCTGCCTCGAGACCCACCGGGGTGCCTCCCTGCCCACCCCCGGTGCCTTTGGGTCCTCCGTGGGACTCCGCCGTTCCCACACTCTGGTGCCCTGGGAGGAGAACATTTGCGTAACGGCTGCAGGCTGGCCCCCAGTGGGAGAGGTGCGTGCTGGCCCCCTGGGGGAGGGCGGGGAGGAAGTGAAACCCTGACGAGCTTCACCCAACGCAGGAGGAAAGGGGAACACGCGGCCCCATGCGAGGCGACGCCTGGGCAGGAAGACCTAGAGCCCAGACCTGGATTCAAGTCCTGGCTCTGTGCTAAAGCTCTTAGGGCCCCGGGGCCGCGTTTTCCTGCCAGGGCTTCCGCCCACTGTCCTGCTGCTGGCTGGGCTCTGGTCCCTCCCTCTGCTCCCCCTGGGACGGCCTCACACCGGGCCACCCCCAAGGGAGACGGCCTGGGGCAGTCCAAGGAGTTCCAGGGCTGGGATGGGAACTCACCTTGAGGATGAACGTGTTGTCTTTCTCCGGCATCTCCAGGGGCATGGTGGTGCGCACCTCGATGATGGCTGAGAGGGGAATGCTGACCTTGGGCCTGGAGGCCTGGGAGGCAAGAGGCGGGTGGTGAGAGCGCGGCCCCAGGGTTGTCTGGCACCCTCCTCACCTCCTCCCGCCTCCCCTGGGTCTGAGCAGCTCTCAGCTGAGGCTGCATCTACCGCTCTGCCGCAGAGGAGGTCCAATCCCATTTCACGGGTGGGCAAGCTGAGGGTAAGTTAAGGACAGACCTGGGGTTGCCATCCGAGCCTCCGACCTCCTGAGCCTTGAGGAATGAGCCCTACCCAGTGCACCTACCAGATCTGTTTTCCCATTTTTGACCTTGACTCATAGTAAGAGATGCATTTGACACCGTGGCCCGGGACACACATATGTAGGTTAAAATATCTCTGAAACAAATGTTTTGTCAGACGATATATATCCTTCCCGTGTATGATGGGGTGTGATGTTTTTTGTTTTATTCTATTCTAGTTCATTAAAAGAAAAACGCTGGTCTCTGACTTCAGACGAGACTTTCCAAAGCAAGGCCTGGAACCCCCAACTCAGAACAGGGCTCGTTGTTTCCAGGCACGGGGAAAAGGGATTTGCATGCCCCACGGCACTGCGGCAGGGTTTAACCAAGGTGAGCTGGCAGGGCCCCGGGATAGCCACTCTGTGCCTGGCCCTACTCGCTATGCCCCACAGCTCCCGGAGGCCCCCTGAGCCTGGCCTCAGACTGGGATTCCGGGCAGGGCTCGGGCTCTGGGACAGGGGCTTTCTTAGGAGGAAAGGGAAGGGCCGCACGCCCGGTGGGCAGACGGATGGCCGTTCCTGGCAGCGCTGGCCACTGTCCAGCGAACTCAGGGCTGGGCCTGGAGCGACGCCAGGGGCCTGAGGTAGAGCAGACAGAGGTCTGCAGCGAGGGCCCGGACGGGGCCGTCGGCAGGGCTCCCAGCTTGCTTTCTGCGGCTCGCCTGCCTCTTGCCTGCTCCGGCCACAACTCACTGTGCTCACGACCTCGAACGGCTAGCTAGTTTCACAACTCCAGGCTTCTGCCCTCTCGGCTTGTGCCTCCAGAAGTGTCTGTCCTGGGGCCCCTGCCACCTGACAAGCACTCAGGCAGCCCAAGCGTCCCCTCCTTGGGGTCCCAGAGCACCCAGGGATACCCCACTAAGGACTGCAGGCAGTCCTGCGAAGCCCAGTTTCCTGCTGGCTCCTACTGGCCAGCTTCAGTGCTCCGTAGGTCCCCAGGGCTGGCCTGGCACAGGGCTGCGAGGGGAGCTGGGGTCAAGAGGCGGGGAGCCAGAGAACCCACTCACGGGGCTGGCACGTCCCGGCTGCATGAGAGGGAAGTCTAAGAGCTCCAAGGGTACAGCCTGACCTCCCGGGGGAGGGCTGGACTGTGGGTGGGTGAACAGGCCGCGAGGGTGTCGGCAGGGGTGTCCCAGGACCAGACACATTTGGGAAGTCCAACCAGAGCACTTGCCATAGCATGCCCCAACCTCCCACCAGGATGGCTCTTGGACACCCCTGAGGACTGCCATTTGCATGACAAAATGAGGGGAAAGGGCCCGTGACCCCTCAGGACCTTGTCCCCTGCCAGCAGCAAAGTTAGCAGGCACTGCAGGACGAAAGGGCACCAGCTGCTGCGTCCCCTCCCCCAGGGCAGCAGATGCCGCTATTTACAGAGGGCAGCTGTGACGGCCACTCAGCCGGAGGTTCTCTCGGGGACCTAAGGGTGGGGTGCTGGGCGGGCAAAAAGCCCACCTGGGGTTCTGGGACTTGGGGAGAAAGCTCTCCAAAGAGTGTGTCCCTGGGCCCATGTGGGTCCTGGGCACAAAGCCTTGGGGAGCTCCCAGCCCAGCACCTCCAGGACAGAGGTGGGGGTGCACCCAGAGCCCACCTGGCAAGCACTCAGGCAGACTGGGAGATGGAGAGAGAGCGTGAGACTGAGGGTGACTAAGAGGGCACCAAGGGACAGAGGGGGCCCTGAGGGGGTGGGGGACCTGGGGGCCCCCCTGGCTGCCACACCAGCACAACCTCCCACCTCCAGGCTCTTTCGTCTTCGGGACCACCAGGGTGGTGGGTATAATTAGCCCGGCGCTGCCAGCCACAGGCCGTGTGACTGTGGGCCGGCCGCACCCCCCCTGAGTTGCCTCCGTGCTCTCCTCTGAGACCTGGGGACCACGTGCGTATCTTGCCGAGGCAGGGCACTGGAAGGATGAGAGCTAGCCCGGGCGGATGCCCACCAGGCTGTGGGTGGACGAACCCTGAACTTCCAGGAAGCCAGTGCTATCTATTGTTGGCTATTCCCACCTTCCAGACGGGGCGCCCAGGAGAAGGTTGGATGCCGCCCCAGGGCCCTGGTGGCCAGTCCTCAAGAGGGGTGAGCTGTGCCCTCAGCGGAGCAGTGACACCGGTGACAGCCAGAACGAGGCCCAGCTTCCCCCTGGCCAGAAGGCAGCCCCCTGGGCCGGGCTGGGCTGCCGTCTGGCGTCCGAGGGAGGGACGGCTCCCGTGGAGTCGGGCTGGC